CTTTCGACTTCGATTATGATCACGAGTCCTCGGAGATCTCTCGTGTGTCTGCGGCAATTTACCCTACAGTTCAGGACGTCACCTTTAAAGAAATGATTTGTGATTACGTTTTGTTACATTAAGAATATTCATTAAAAAAAAATATAAAAAATTTTCATACGTTAGAAAGAGAAAAAATGAAATGTTACATATGGAAACATTTATGATTGTGACTTACCTTCGGTAATGCTAATTGGCTCCCTCAGTGAAAACACTGTTTGTTTCCAATGAGTTGGGGGCGAGTAAGGCGATGTACTAAAATGAACTGGATTGTCCAAATCGAAAAAGATATCAAAAAAGCCAACAATGGCAGTCAACGATCCAGTCTTTTTCACTTTTAACTCGAACGACGACGAGAAGTTCATATAATCCGTCTTCACTTCGTACAAATCAAACCACTGTATCTCAACAGTGTTCGTTATTAACTCGTCTACCACGCAGACTTCTATATTTGGCTCGCGGATCACTTCTGCTTTCATGCAACTCATTTTAAAACCGTACACGTTTGACCAGTAATCGATGAGTTCGACATATCTTTCTGGAATATAAACATTTCCGTCAGTTGTATCATAAAATGATATGGATATTTTATAGTGTAATAAAAACGTTGATTAACATACTGGTATCTCCACTTCCACAGATGCTTAAAGTACATCTGTTAGGCAGGAGTAATCCACCAGGTGCCAAGTAATGATCTCTGGCGTATATGACAGTGTCCAACATACACTCGAAAAAGAGGAAATAGCCCATCCATTCAGACACAATCGCATCGACTTTTCCATCTTCGAGGGTAATATCTTCAAGGCGACCTTTTTTCAAAGTGATAATATCACTTAAATTGTTTTCTCTATAGTACGTTAAAATGGTTCATATTAGGTTACACAAATAGGTTTTATCATGCTCAGAGTAAAACAATTTAGTTACCTTACTATATCCATGGCTTGATATATTACATCTGATTGATCAACGCTAATGACTTTACGGCATCCGGTTTTGGCTGCGAACATAGATAAAATACCAGTTCCACAACCAACATCTAGCACAACAGCATTAGTAAATCTGTTAGCATTTGTTAATAATGCGTCACGATAACTTTCTGTTCTTACTTTGTCCTATAAAAGAAACAGTTCCTTTCTTACTTATTAATTTCAGTTTGAGATTAAAGGTCTGTTAGGTACATACCGTTAGCATCTCATGATGTATTGCAAAATGACTGTACGCGTTAAAGTAACTTTCGTCAAGGCGGCAATTAAAATTACTAGGAGATCTAATACTATTAGTCTTATCAAAATCATCATCCATGATCAGCTTTTGTACTTTTTCTGTCATCTCATCTATTTGCTAAGTAATCATGTTATCAGTAACTGTACTTCTAGTCTACTGTATGTATATTAATATCATTACGTGTATACCTGTTTACCCATCAAACACGCTACTTCACGTTGCTCTAACTCTGCTCGTAACGTCTGTATTGTTCTTTGCAATTCAGCAAAATGAGCTTCGGATAAAGTGACACAACCATTCTCTGAATTGACTGTGTACGCTATAGGTTTCGTTGTTTTCTCTTCCAAATCATCGATGTCTTTAAAAATAATAAATATTGAAACAATTTAATACATATAGGAAAAAAGAAATTAATCTTTGATAAACTGTTTATTCTGAAACTTACCAAACATCAACCAAGGGTCATATTCAACACTAGGCCTTAAGTACTTGTCACTTTCCCATGTTTTTATATTTAACGCATTTAATTGATCAGGTAGAACATTCTTTTGCCTGATAAAGTTAATCAATTTAATATAAGAATATGTATCCAGAGAATGTCTTGTTACAAAATTTTTCAAGTCAAATTTGTGTGATTTGACAAGGTGTTCCAATGCTTCTGTGAAATTACTTGTAACTTCATTACAAAAGAGACACGGTATGGTCTCAAAAACTTCTGTGAGTTCATCCCAATCATCTCCACTATCATCATCGCTTGTTCCATCCATAGCACATTCAACATCAGTCTTCGATGAAACAGCTGAAAGAATAAACAATATTGCAGTTAATGCTGATAAAGTGACATTAAAATAAAAACTTAATAAAATAAGCCTGTTTCTTCGACTTTCCTCGGAATTAACTAATTAACTTTTAAATACAACTAATATCTTTTAAGTGATCTTCATGGTGAATCAATGATTACCTCCTACCAAAAGTAATAGACACTAATGAAACACAATTGAGGAATACAAATGTTAATTGTTGATTTAAAATGAATAATCAATCGTATAGAAATAGAAATTTAATCGGTACCTTCTTCTGTCATTTTGCAAATGAATGCCCCGAATAACTTTGATACTTATCAAAACGAAAATAAGAACGTTCAAATTTTGTCAAGGTTAGGAATTCTCGATCGACTCATTCGTGCACGTGCAGAAGTAGGCAAAGCCCCTCTCACTTCAAGATCTGTATCACCTAGCGGTAGTACTTAGCTAACAAAACCTTATTGTATACAGATGGTACTCGGTAAACTATAACTTAATATTTATTGATTCCATTCGTAACTCGAGATCACTTGACCGAATAAAATCTTCACATAAGTGAAACTTTAACCTTTCATGCACGCGTCTCTAAGTAGAACTACCACAAACTTAGGACATGTGAAGAAGACATTACATCTTATGGGATCTTCGTGTAGGCCTCGAGAGGTCCTTAAGACCCCCGTATCATTTTAGCGACGCGCTCGACGTTACCGGTAGTTCCTCGATTTAATGTTGTTAGTAGGAATCGAATTTCTTATATACTTTATTTCTGCTACTAGCATAAAACAGCAACCACCGACAACAGACCGGATAGATGTACAACGTTACCAACAGAGTACAAATAAATACAAATAAATAAATAAAAAACGTGTTCTTTATTTTCTTGTCTAAATATTAAAATATTATTCTTTTATATACTTGTAATTTTTTCTAGATATTTATCAGAGTATTAAACATAATTCAACGTATATAAATTGTTATTCTATCACATATGCTGAGCATAGGAATTTTAATTATAGCTTTAAATTATACAATAGTCGGAAGCGGTACATAAACGAAAGTATATTTTACATAAAAGTACATTTCACGTAAGCAAAAACGGCTGAAATTAATAAGAATTGTTTTATACTTTCTCCATTTTCAAACTTATTGCACTTTCTAAATGAAAACGATTATGATTATCAATTAGAAGATTGCACTGTATTCAAGTCTTGTTGTTTAGTTCTTAATTCTAAAATAATGTGCCTAATTCCAGGTATCCATGAACTGCATAGGCTTGCATGTTGCATTATCAGCATTAGATGTATTTGATCAGCTTTTTCAACGTTTCCTTCTTGTAAGGCTGTAAAAAATATTTTCTAATACTTTCTTGCACTGTTAAACGGTAGTAAATCCTAAATTTAGACAAAAGTAATGTAAAACCAACCTTTAGACAAGTCTAGAACATTTGTACATATAACATTATTTAATTTATCTTCTAGCCAGGCAGTTTTTAGCAGATCTAATCTTTTCTTTATCTCCTCCACTTTATTTTTATCTACATGTTGATCAATAACGGTTTCCAGAATTTTTAGGACATCATTTAACATCTGTGCCTTGTCAATTTCTGGTAACCTTGTATCAATTTCAGCGTCTACATTGGAAGGAGGTATCAATGGTGGATGAGAAGCTGTTGTCAAGTTAACAGATGATTGTAATGGCGGTGGCATGGCAGTAGAAGTATTCGATGGCGAAGAATTTTTATTGGAAGCCTGTGTTGATGATAAAGGAAATGCTATCCTCTTGTTCAATAACCTCTTGGTAGGTGTAGAACTTTGCGCGCCAGAATATGCCCACTTCGGAGGATCGTTCCATCCTGGTTCGTGACCAGGTAATAGAACCTTTTGCATAGAGAGATTCTTATCTGCAACACAAAAGTTTATAAATACCAATTCAGGAAGCCATTCAAGTAATAGCAATCAATTGCATTTCATGCACACATTTACAACTTCTCAAAGCATTATCCATTAGTATAAAAATGTTTACACTACTAATTTATTACATTACAAATAAAAAAAATATGCTGAAACGTTTATATTACCTGTCTCGTCCTCGTTCATTCTTTAAGTATAAGAATTTACTAGTTTCTTTAAGAAAACAAAGTAAAGAACAATCATTGAATTAACGATTAATATTCAACTATGTACCACGCATACTGCTTACTGTATTTGTTTATATGATTTAATTTAACTGACACACCACAATCACTATGTCATAACGAATCAATTTGATACCAGATTTGCTAATCCTTTAACCAGAATCTAGTAACATACTGCGTTACGACTGCGCAGAATCACATTCGACCGTAACGTTTCAATTTGAATTCAAAGCGCATTTCTTCCTATCTTTCCATCGCATATTATTTTAATTTGTACTAGCATATAACCCATTCCCCTCTAATATAACAACAACATTCATAAAAACGTTGCAAAAATAACACGTTATAAATATAAATTACAATCTTTTACATTTTTAATCAATTTCACTTCGACCAGTACAGATTACAAATCTCGAATGATAAAGTCCCTAATAAATTATGCAGCATCACTCAACGTGACCGCGCTATTATCGACGAATTTTAAACATTAATCTGATACGACATGAAACGCTTTATAAATCTCGCCAGGTTAGTTGTGATTTTATTTCAGTTAACCCGTGGACATGGGGCTGTTACAACCCTTCAACGTGTATCAGGAATCATGGCCTTTGTTGTCTCTAATCAAACTTCTAGGTAAGGATTAAATAAAAAATGACTAAATAAAGTATCACGTTTTTCAATAATAACAAATATAAAGGTTTAAAAAAATCTGTTTTCAATAGCCCCTAAAAATGTTACCTTAATTATATAACCTATACCTCAAACTATAGCTTTATTCGCAATTTCCCAAAAAATTCCAAATCAACTAATTCTCGAATTTCTTTTTGCAGGCTTGTACCCTCTAACGTTTTTCGAATCCTCCTGCATGAACTACCTAAGCCCCATTATATTGTTAACGTCCTATTTCTGCCTTTTCGGCTGCGTGCACGATTACGCTAGGCACGTACAGAAAATCTTGATGGTCACGTCGAACGTCACCAAAATTCGAATAGGCAGGTACTACATGAACATAATTTTGTTGCCCATGATAATGATAACGACTGCGCGCAACAGCGTGAAGATACGTCGTGTGTTCGAGTGCATCGACAGCGTCGACAAAAATATGGAATTTCTGAACATCAAGATCGACTACTCGCGAAACATAAAAATCGATATCGTCCACGTCACGACCGTGGTGTTCGTCACGATACTATGCAATTTGGTGGATTATTACGGGCTGCTTGATAGTGACAGGAATTACATGTACGTTCTCATGTGGATCGTGGATCGAATACCGGATTTCGTCAACACGGTACTATTATGCTCGTTCGCCGTGCTCACGAACAAAATTGAACTCAGGTTTCGCGAGATCAACGGGATCCTCAACAACATTAACGAAGGGAAGACTTTCATTTCCGTCACCGACTCGTCTGACGTGAACGATAGTAAGCTTTTAATGCGCACATAAGTTTCACAGTTTATTCTCGAGTGGCAACAGTTTGTCGGAAGGTACTCAGATTTTCCGTAATCGAAGATCCTTTGTTGTATTTGATATTCGTTTTATTTCATTTTTAATTTCAGTGCTTCTATTTTAGTTTACTTTGAATCTCATTAATTTTATCTTACTTTGGGTCTCATTAATTTTATTTTAATTTGGATCACATTAATTTAATTTTACTTTGAAGCGCATTAATTTTATCTCACTTTGAAGCTCATTAATTTTACTATTTCTTAATTGAATATAATTTTTGTATTCAAAACAATCCAGTGATAATTGATATTCGATTAATCGATATTTTGAATTTCACTTGGCGCCATTTTCCTGTGACCGATGATGAACCTTATAGGTTAAAATATCTGCTAATTCCTTCAAAACGAATGCCCAAGACAAAGCAATTAAATCAGACTTTAGATTACAGATTGATATTGTCGAAAGTGTTGCTTTTGAAGCTGTGCAAAACCGTATCGTTACTGAACGACGCGTACGGATTTCAATTGAAAGTTTTATCGGTACTATACATTATATACCTATGCCTACACATATGCGCAGTTTACGCCGTCGGTGACATTTACGTGTACACGGTGGACACAATCTTGAGTATCATATGGGGCACCCTGGATGTAATAAAATTGGTGTACATAATCCACTTGTACCGCGTATTAATGTTACAGGTGATTTAAATAAATCTGCAACACATTGACACCCTTCATAATTCTTAACCCCTTAATGACAGTTGCCACATGGTATTCGTGAAAATTCACTCTAGTGAATATTCATTTATTTCCTCTTTTATTATATTTATTAAATATAGACACGCTTTGTTAGAAAATTACCTTTCAAAAGGAAACGATAAATTCAAAGAAAAAGAAAAGTTCAACCGTGAAAATTCTGGGAGAAAAACTCCACGTTGCGGTGTTGACAGGCGCGAAAAAACGTGGTTAAGGGGTTAAACTGTCACAGGCGGATAATTCGACTACGTTGTTATTGCATTTCATTTTTTCAGCACGCTTGAGTGGAATTTGTACGATGCACAACAGGACAAGTGATAAGTAATATAATAAGTACATACATTTGGTATTTATCGCTGGTGATATTATGTTAAACGTACGAGCTTTTAAATAATGCGCTAATATAAGTACCAACCAATCAGCTGTAAAATGTCAACGTACACATTTTCCGTGGATAAAAAAACGATGATTCTGCAAAACGTTGACGGTGCCCTCGTTATTCCGACGGGTCTTGAATTTATCCGAACGAATAAATGCGGGAATAATAAAATATTCTGGTGTCTTCATTTAAACACCTCATTTTACAATGTTCTAATTTTTATCATGACGTGTCTCGTCAGCGTGCATCAGGCGCATGCGCAATGCCACCTTACGTGGCATCAGCAACAATCACTATTGCAGCGAAATACATTTTCTTCATTTTACTGTAAACAGTTGTGGAAATATTAACTTTTGTTATGGTTCAAATACGTTCGACGATACAACGTAAGTGTTCAATATTTCTCGTGTACCACGTGAACTGTTTATCCGTGTGACTCGTGTCCCGTATAGAATTCTTTGTGCAAAATGGCTTATTCACTTTTTACCATTCGAAACGGAGATAAGATTTTAATAATTAGTCATTGGGCGACAACAGGGTTCTTAAATGATCAACAAAAATATCTGACGTGCGATCAGCGCTTATAACGCACTTGGATCGCACGCAGTCAATTTTGTATAGGTTATCTTACGTCTGTCAATGTGTAGCATATTTTGAACGTTAGCTAATGATTTATACACTTTTCAATCTGCCAATGTGCTTGTCGTTTGATTTTTTACGCGTGTCGTATTCGTACGTTAAGCAAATACGTTCGATTCAGGAAATATGTTATTTTAAATGTAACATTCTCATGCTTATTTTCTGCAATCTGTTAACATTATGTAAATCGTTATGTGTTTTATATTGTTTTGTGACTACGTGAAACGTTAACCACGATTTCTTTCGTAAATTTACATGTTTTATTGATACATATACGTGTGTATATTATTATTAATG